CCCCAAAACCCCAAAACCCCAAAACCCCAAAACCCCGTTCAAATTCCTTAATGTAGAAATATAAATTATAAAATTGATTGATGAGTTTAAGAAAAATGTCCCAAAAGTCTGAAAGTGAGTCCCAAAGAAGCCAACAAGAGGAGGATTGCCCTCGAAATCATACTCATAACTTGAGAAGGACTCGGTCTTCGACGAATACGAGAAAATAAGACGAAGAAGTCTGATTATTATTACCCAACTCAGGGAAGAGGGTTCGCATCAGGCCAAAATTCACCTGATTCCTGTTCTCCTAGTGCTAGAGAAAGAGAGGATGAGTCAGCTAAAAATGACCTGGAGTCTAGCCGTCCTAGTGAGAAAAGTACCATCAAAACGAGAAATCTTAGAAGCTCTAATAAATTGCGGTCTAAAGCTTTAAATAATGTCAAACCTAAGAGAAGAATGAAGAGAAAGACGAGGGAACCTACTGGAAAGAAGAATGACGCGAAACGTCAGAGAATGGAATCAGAAGGTGACCAAGAGTCAAATGACTGAGAAATTCCTTCCAACTTAAACCCTCTTTTTGAAGTGTTCTGCAAGTTTATTGAAGACCTTCATGTTGAGGCCTCAAATGAGGTAGAAGAGACAACACAACAACCGCAACAGAATGAAAGAGTTGAGAGAGATCAAGAGGTAGCACAAATGAACGAACTTCAACAATTTTATGATAGCCTTGGATCCACAATTGAAAGGAGACTATGCCAACACTTCGTTGAGCAAAATATTACCGATCCAGCTACAATTAGAGCTTATATAGATGCTTTCTTACCTCAAATTCTTGCTCAGCATCAAGAGGCAGTTCCTAACACTCTCGAGGAGATGGTAGAGGGAGCCAGAAGAGCCAGTGATGAATTAAATGATCAAAACCAGGACTGCGGTATTAATAACACAGACAATGATTCTTTAACTCAAGACCAGCATAATTATTTCATGCAGCAGATGCTACGTGAGGTGGGTTTACTTAATAAGCTTCTTCAGGTTTCCCTCCTATATTCAGTTTCTTCTCTTAATTTCTGGCTGAGGAGATACTTGTGAACACTTTTGGCTCATGAATGGCTTTCTTTTCTCATCAAATCATAATTTTGAATAATTATATAGAAATTGTCAGAGCTACTGCAAGGCATCAACCAGAACAACATGCAACAGTATGAACACTCATTAATTCTGGAAATTTTCGATACATTAACAAGTTCTGCATCTAGCTTCCGATTTTATTCTGAAAATTCAAAAACAAATCTAAAAAGAAGTTTATGAACAGGAGTTAGCATCAGTAGTTAATAAGGCCATTAAAGAGAACTCTATAGCCAAGGCTTATATTAGGGACGTAGATTTAAGAGACTTCTGGACCATAGTTAAATTTTATAAGTTAGAAATAGTCTTAGCGCCTACTTTAAACTTTTGCTTTAATTTTTGCTCAGATTCTCTTAAGATGTGTTTTGAAAGTTAAATTTATTTGATTAAAATATGTAACTCTTGAATTTAGAAACCAAATTCATCCAATGTTTGACCCAAATAACGGAGAAATTTATATCAGAAACATATTTGATTTTAAGAGATCAAGTTACCATATCGGAGCTGCTACTTTTATACAACAAATACAAAGAGCTTCTCATCAGGCTTATATCTTTAAGGCCCAACAGATGGCTTTAATGCAAAGAAATGAACAGAATAATATCCATGAAGAGAGAACTCAAAACAATAATATACAGCAAGAGATGATTGAGGCGCAGCAAGATTCTATTCAAGAGCAATTGATACCCGCCTTACTTCAATCCCAGCTGCAAGAACAAACCACTCTTCCTGACTTAAACACAGTCTCTGCCTCCCAAATCCAGAACTCTCACCAAATCCAGCCTGGATTAGAAGAGGCGAGGACAGCTACACAGAAACAATTAGCTGAATTATGACAAATTTTAAACCAAAGAATACTCTCGTCTAACTCTGGGCTTTAATACTGCTCTAAACTATTTAAGTTCGTGTTCTTCCTTTCAACAATATTCTTCACTTTCGGGGTTTTGGGGTTTTGGGGTTTTGGGGTTTTGGGG